GAGTGTATATCGGTGTGTGGTGTGTGTTTAATCGCAGTGGTTGCTGCCACTGGTGCGGGGGGCATTTCTAGCCGCAGTGCATGTATTTTCATGAAATGTTGTGGAAATTCACATTTGTTTTCACAGTTTCGAAAATTTATATATAATTCTGGTATTTATGTAGCCGCTTTGGCTGTACGTAATAAATTTTCAAAACTCATCCGAAAATGTGGGTCGTTGGCACTTGCATTTCAGTTTTGAGTCATTTTAAATCATCAGATTCTATACACACACATATATATAAATACGTATGTATATGATATGAATTTCATGCGTGGGAGGCGCGCAAAGAAAGTGAAAAATTCTGAGGGCATTCATAAATCAAGAAGAAATGCAAATATGCAGACATCAAATTGAAGTTGATTACATAAGAAATGGTAGAAAAATTCCAGCTTCGTTTTGCCCTTGGGGTTTTTATACATAATTTGGGCGAGTTGGATATTTTTCTTACAATTTTTATTACTTCACTTTGTGGCTTTCTTGAACAATACATATAATATTATATAACAATATTTAAAAACAAAAACAAATTTAGTCATTCGCACTATTAATGTGCACATGAGTAACCAGCTGAAGAAATTGCTTCAGAGAAGAAATGTTTTCAAAGGAAATGTATGTATTCATATTTCGAAGCCTAGCCACACGACTTAAATGCAATTTACAAACATTAACATGAGTAGATGGAGAATATTAAGTTAAGTTAGATGTTATTTTGAATCCCAGTATCATAAAACGCATAGTTGAAGAGTCTTATATAAATATGATTTTAATTAAAATCGAGAAAGTAGGGCATCAACTCGCCAAATATTGAACACTCTTATAGACATTTGCCTTATGGTCTTACAGATGTACCAAAATATCTTGGAAAACAGATTATTTTGGGAAAGAAAACTCATTTTCGACCGATTCTTCCTATGGGGCTATATAATATAGTTGCGCGATAAAAGATTTGGCATATAATAGGCATAGCTTGACTTATAAATGCCGGGTTTGGACAAGTTATCTAGATAAACAAAAAAAAAGTTCTATAAAAGAACCTAATTTTTGACCGATAGTACCTATGACAGTTATAAGACAAATGTACTGTATGCTACAGAAAAATAGACCTACATATGTAAAGTTTCAAGACGGTAGCTTTAAAACTGAGAGACTGGTTTCCATAGATGCGGACATAGCTATATGAACTAGGCTGATCTAGAATATATATATACTTTACGGAGTCTGGGATGTCTCCATCTATGCGTAGCACATCACATATTAAAATTATAATACTCCCTACAAGGGTACAAAAACTGTGGATTTTTGAATAGATGTGTGTATCAGCTATACAATAAAATTGTCTAGGCGCCGCATTATCCGAATAATCTTACAACTGAAAGACTATTTTACAACCAAACGGCTGCATGGATTAATTTAGAAATCTTTTTAAGACACGGATAATCTTATTTAGGTATGAACTTCTGGGATATATGAGATGGGGTTCATTTTGACAGGCTGTACCTTTTATATGCCAAATAGTTACAAGGCAAAGTTTAAATTCATGGGACAATTAAGATTGAAATTATTTCCAATATAACTTTAGGCACATTAAGTTCTTATCTCAATAGTTAAGTCTTGATAATTTCTTAACTCAACAAAAACTCGAAACATGTTGAAATATAAAAATATGCACATATCAAGCATAACAGTGAGCTATTTTAGCTTAAAGTAGAGCTGGCTTAAGAAATGAGGCTACGATTAACATTGTGCAACATGCCAACGAGTCGAGAAATGCGCCACCCACCCAACTCAGTTGCCACACTTTCCAACCATTTTTACAAATTTTGCCAACCTAAACGTCTCACGGCATAGTTCTTCTTCTCATCAAAAAAAAAAAAAGAAAGAAGAAAATATCAAACTGACCCCAAAAATGAACATTTGCCCGACTCAGCGCAATTTTATGAAATGGGCGAATTTTCAAAGCCGCAGAATAGTTGGAGCCACTTGTGCCAGCTATGCAGAAGTCTAGCTATATAAACTAGTTGTGGAACTTGGCATGTCATCAGTCACCTTTGGTAACCACAGCAGAACCAACAGATTCAAGATGAAATTCTTTGTGTGCTTCGCCATCATCGCCATCGCCGCCTCCGCTCTGGCCGCACCCAGCAGCGGCAGCTCTGCTGCCAGCAGCAACGCCGGTGGCTCTGTTGCCAACCAGGAATCCGAGGCTGAGAGCCAAGGCTACGGTGATCTGACCCGTCTGCGCAAGGCCGCTTATGGCGGCAGCTCGGGCGGCTATGGCGGCTCCAGCGTGCCAGCTCCACCTTGCCCCAAGAACTATCTGTTCAGCTGCCAGCCCAACCTGGCGCCAGTGCCATGCAGCGCTCCAGCTCCCAGCTACGGATCCGCCGGCGCTTACTCCTCGCCCGTGGCCAGCTATGTTGCCCCCAACTATGGCGTGCCCCAGCACCAGCAGTCGCTCTACGGCGCCGCCTACCTGCCTCAGGCCTACGGCTATCAATACTAGAAGATCCACAACCCTCGAGACTTGAACTTGACACGGCTTCCAAAGCTGCCGAGAAACAAAAATCTTAGCTATGCTTACTGAAAATGTACAAAAAAATTTCTAGTTCAATTAAATTGACAAAAAATCCGAAATTTGCATTTATTTAGTTCCATTTTTTTCCTTGAATTTTAAACGCAATGACACATGATTGGGTTAATTTGGGATTATTTATGCTTATGCTGTACTTATTTATAATCTAAATTGATTTACAAAAATGCTGTGCGAAATGTGTGAAAGAAGCAAAACTAAGAATTTAGGCTCTGCAGTTTTATGCTTACAAGCTATGCTGAAAACTGTCTCAAATTCTTTCACTCAAAAGATGAGGCAGTTATTCTAAATGTGCAATTAAATATAAGACCTTTTTGACTTGGGATTTATTTCGAACATTCTTTTAATTTTGCACCCATTTTCCTTGTTCTTCATAATTGTGCAGTTAATTTATTTTAACATTGAACAATTTTACACAATTCCCAGATTGTCAGACTCTTAATGGCATCAAAAGTATTCATTTTTTTTATTAAAACTAGAATCTCTGCGCAAAAAAACTTGCATAATTCGGCAGCTATATTTCATATATTTATATATATATTTAACACTTAACTATTGGGGTAATTAAACATATTTTAATATATATTTTGGTCTTTGCACAAATTTGAAGTCAAAATTTTAGCTCTGATCAATTTCTTAACTATAGTTGCGCAACTCGTGTGTAAATATTTACTTTGATATCAACGGCCTTGCACGTTCCATGTTTATTTCTTCCAATTTATTACTTTACTTTGTCACCCATTTTCCGAACTGACCTTGAAGCCGACATCTCCAGCGAAATATATATTATTTTTATACTCTTGTATTATTATGATTATATTCAATTTTTGGTTTGATATGTGTAATGCATAGAAGAAGACATCTCCGAGCCCATAGAGTATATATATTCTAAATCAGCATCAACAGCCGAGGTGATATAGCCATGTCCGTCCGTTGGTCTGCTCGTCTGTCTATTTCTAAGCGGCCTAGTCTCTTAGTTTTAAATATATCGTCTTGAAACTTTACTTAGGTAAGTCCTTCGGTTGCGGACAGTATATATGGTGGAACCAGCAGGGTCGGACCACTCTATCATATAGGTGCATATAGGTGCCATTGGAACGATCGGTCGAAAAGCCGGTTCTTGTATGGAAATCTTTTTTTTGTTTATTAAGAAATCTTGACCATACTCGATATTTATCAATTTCACTATGCTCCCTACATATTTAATAAATCTTACCAACATCGGATAACTATATCATACAGCTGTCATAGGAAATTTCGATCAAAAAGTAGGTTCTTGTATGGAAAACTTACTGTTTACATATGAGCAATTTGTTATTAAGATCGCACATCTATATTATATAGCACTATAGGAAGAATGGGTAAAATGGTTTTTTGTTTGGCAAAATATTTTCAAAGATATTTTCTTCAAAGTCAGCACTTATGAGTTTCACCATTCCCGTAATACAAATGTCTACAAGAGTATTAAGTCTTCGGCGTGCCGAAAATAACTTTATTTTCTTGTTTTAATTGAAACTAAAATCAATCGGTTGAAAACTAAATATTAAGATAAAGTTTTACAAACACTAATAGTTTGTTTAAATTCTTAAGTTTATGAAAATGAATTAAAAGTCGAAAGTACACTTTCACTCATATTACATTTGATTCATATTTTTCAAGCATTTGATAGATTGGATTCTTTGAGAGATATCTTACGAATTTTCAAAAGAAAGCTAAAAGAAAACGAATTTAAGGATGGTGAACAAAAACGTCTTATAAAATCTTTTTCCGCCATTTTTTCACAGTTGCGTGTGGATTTGTAAAGAAACTGAAACATTTATTTATGGAGCTTCAAGCTTTGCAACTGGATAATTATCCAATACAACATTTGGTATAAATTTTCAATTATTTTCTGCAAAGTGTGAACAAGTTTATATATGTAGATCTACGATCGAATATGTATGGAAATACTCTTTCTTTATAGGAATAAAAGAAAGATTTGTAGAACTAACAGAATGGGAACATGTAGAGTATGTTACCATATTGATTTAAGTCAGTATGCGAAGACTTAGGTATAGTTATAATAAATAGAACAGCTAATCGAGGGCATGGCTTGGCTTGGCATTCTTAAATATAGATCGATAAAAAGAATTGGCTGACACTATTTTCACCCACAAATCCGATGATGTTTTTGCACAGTCGGGCATTTAAACAGTTTATGTATTGTATAGTATAAACCATATATGGAATTTTCACTATCTGGGCTTTATAGGGTGATAGCTGATTAAGCAAATGCCAAAAACGACAGACTAGTTGAAGCCACTTGTCTCTGCCGTTTTATGCTAACTTGGCAAAGTTAGGCTATATAAACTGGGAGTGCGGCTGCAATGGGCATCAGTCACCTTTGGTAACCATCAAGAAAGAATCAACAGCTTTAGGATGAAATTCTTCGTTTGCTTCGCTCTCATCGCCATTGTGGCCTCCGCTCTGGCCTCGCCCACCGGCAGCAGCTCGGTTGCCATTACCAACCAGGAATCCGAGGCTGAGAGCCAAGGCTACGGTGATCTGACCCGTCTGCGCAAGGCCGCTTATGGCGGCAGCTCGGGCGGTTATGGCGGCTCCAGCGTGCCAGCTCCACCTTGCCCCAAGAACTATCTGTTCAGCTGCCAGCCCAACCTGGCGCCAGTGCCATGCAGCGCTCCAGCTCCCAGCTACGGATCCGCCGGCGCCTACTCCTCGCCCGTGGCCAGCTATGTTGCCCCCAACTATGGCGTGCCCCAGCACCAGCAGTCGCTCTACGGCGCCGCCTACCTGCCTCAGGCCTACGGCTACCAATACTAGAAGATCCACAACCCTCGAGACTTAAACTTGACACGGCTTCCAAAGCTGCCGAGAAACTAAAATCTTAGCTATGCTTACAGAAAATGTACAAAAAAAATATATGCATTAAATTAAATGGACAAAAAGTTCTTATAACAAAAAGCCCACATATGTTTTGCTCAACTGGTATTATCAGCTTTCCTGAGTTCTTGAATAGGTTTAACTTTATGGAAAGCTCAACAGACAGCGGACAGCTGTTCTTTTGAATTACTCATTTAAAATGAAAACTTGATTCCTGGCCGCGTATCAATATCAATACAAATGAAAACTAAACGAAACACAACAAATTTAAAATATAGAGTTCCGTTCTGGTTTTTCCAAATAAATAAATAAGCACATTAAATTCAATATAATGTGAAACATAAGCGAACACTTCCATCTGGAAGTCGCACATGTTTTCCGTGGAATTATTTTTATTGAATTGAATTACATACATATGTGTCTCAGATTCGAGGTGTTACGTTCGTCAAATACCCAGATGCTCGCACAGCATAACCTTGCCTGAAAAATCTATTTATTTTCCTGACAGTTAAAAAAAAATTTTATAATGGAAGCAATTTTTAATGAAGAATAGTTTAAAACTTGCCATAGTTTCGTCTTTTACAAAAGAATCAGTAACGATTTTTTCTGTGAGGTAGAATCTTGTTTTAAAATTTAAAATAAATATATATTTCTAGTTATAAATATATTTGATAAATATATTTAAGTAGTATGCAAAAATAAGCATATTTTACAGACTTGGGAAAAAAGAACAATATAAGAAAGAAGGTCTAACTTCCGCACGCCGAAGATTAAATACACTCGCAGATATATAAAAAGAATTGTTCACATTTTTTTTTAATTGCTGAGCTAGGGAACCGATGTTAATAAGATGTTGCTTATATTTAAGCAGCATGGTAGAACTTGTTAATATCCAGTTTAATTAAGATAACGAGAAAAACCATATAGTTATTTATTTAAGAAATTAATTTTTGACCGATTATTCCCATGGGAACTATTTGATATAGTGGTCTGATCTGGTCAATACCCATATATGAGAGACAGACGGACTTGCTGTCACTGATCAAGAATAAAGTGTATACTCTTAAGTCGTCTTCTTCTATGCGTTACACGTTGCGTGACAAAATTATAATACCCTCTGTAAGGGTATACAAATGGAGAAAAAGAATAAGAAGAGCTGTAGCTTTTAATATGCTGATTGTGAGCAAATAATTATTTTAAATATAGCATGTATATGTATATTTATTAACAATACTTTTTTAAAAGCACTTTGAACCCAATTGAATTAAGCCAAGTTAGCCGAATCATCAGCAACACCTACAAAAAGCGAACAGTCGGCTCAGCATATTGTATATAAATATGTCTGTAGTAAACACTTTTTCGATTTCTTACTTTCTTCAGAGAATTTTCACATAATTGCATATTATTCGGTGGGGTCTTTGAACCAAGCTGATTTTAGCCTCAATTATTATTTGGATTTGTTAAGAAAGTAAAGTCGATTGCAAAATAAGTAAAGACAATGGCGTTGGCAACCCAAATCTGCAGGTGAAGCCAGCCAAAATAAAATAGAAATAAATAATTCATATATATATATATATTTATATACAAATGTATATGTATGGACGGGCCGGAGGAACCTACACACAGGTTTTGCTGACCGGCTTCAGTCGTGATATGGCCAGACAATGCTTAGAATGTGTGCTAGGGATTAGAACTGAGAATTTACCTTGGCCCATGGCCCATGGCCCAATGGCGACCAACTAACCCAATTGGCCAAGTTACCTTGAAGCTCTTGTTGGTTTTGTCGCTTGGCAGCATTTCCGCATAACGCTGCATATTTTGCCAAAAATCTGATCGCATTTATAAAAACCAACTGGCCAGAGCCCAATGCCGGCTCAGTCTCAGTTTACAGCTTCGCAGCCAGCACGGTCAAGCCAGGTGTTAATACTAAACTACGACATCATCATTATCATCATCATCATCATCATCAGCAGCACCTCAATATGTCCATACCAAGGGCGTTTATAGCGCTGCTGCTCTTCTGTTATCGGCTGCAGACATGTCTGGCCAATTGCGATGGGCGCTGTGTGCGCAGTCCTTCGTCCGGGCAGCTATTTCGCTTCATACCCGTTCGCCTGTACACGCCGGAGCAGCTGGAGGATAATGCGGAGCTGCTGGTGCGCCAGCCACGTCAGCAGCAAATCGTCCAGGAGGTGATTGTGGAGAACAATTTCGGGGGTCTAGGCCCAGGCGGTTTTGGGGGTTCGCCCTTTGGTGGTCCGCCGCCTTTCGGTGGCCCGCCATTTGGGCCCGGATCTGGCTTTGGTCGTGGCGGCTTTGGACACGGAGGTACACGCGGTGGCTTTAGCAGCAGCTTTGGCGGTGGCTTTGGTGGTGGCTTTAGTGGCGGCTTCGGACGCAGCTACGAGCTGGCGGAGGAGCCAGAGCAACCAGCCATACCAGCCAAGTGCAATGCGCCCAGTGCTCAGGCGCCCAGCGTTCAGGCGCCGCCCTGTGCCAAAAACTATGTGTTCTCCTGCGACGCGGTACTGAAGCCAGTTCCCTGTGCAGCACCAGATGGCAATTGTGGCTATTGAGAGACCAAAGGACTGTTATTGATATCTATAAATAAAACTGAATGTTAAGAATTACAGTTTGTATATACAATTTGGGGTGGGAATAGATAACATCAGACAGAACTTAATGATGTGGCCTAAAAGAAATAACAGATTAATTAATTACATTTCCAAATTTGGCAGGTTTTTTTTAAGAAACAATATTCTGCTCTAGAAGCTAATGGAATATTTTGTTGAGCGACTAAATATAATCTTTAAATATGATCATATTGTGTGTGGAATACACATGTTGATGGAACTTTAATATTTTCTTATTTTTTTGATTATAAATCGACGGTGTAATTAATTTCTGCTAAAAATCTCGAATTCAGAATTTGAACAATAAACAATTATTAAATTATCGCATTAAAAAAGCTCAGAAAATTAGCCGACATTTTTAATTTTAAAAGCAACTTTAAATAAGCTCAAAGCTGTTTAGTTTCTTCTTAAAATATTAAAAGAAATAACTTTTAAAAATAAATTTTTGGTATATGTACATATATTGCTTTATATACATTTTTAAATGTGTTAAAAATTGTTCAAATTAAAAATGTCTTAAAGTAGGTGGCGTTAACAGATTTTTAGCTTTTTTAAATTTTTTTTTTAATAAAAATTGTCTATTCTTTTTTATAATTTTTCATTTCGTAAATTTTTTTTATCAAATAGTTTACGGTAACAGATTTTTAGGGTATCTCAAGTTTTTTTTTTTGCAATAAGATTTTTCTGAAAAATTTTCTGATTATTTTTAATTCTGATAATTTCTATGGATAATATATTATCTTTTTTTGATCATTTTTTTTCGATATGTATTTATTGAATTAATTCAAAAATGTCCTAACTGAAAAAGGAAAAACTAATAGATTTTAAGTAAATCTTCTATTGGCCGTGAATCTATTAATATAATTTCTAAAAATACAGAGCTAATGCAGATTTTAAATACAGAACAATTACTTTTAAAAACGTTAAAATTCAAAAAAATTGCAAGTTTAAATTACATTTTTTTTGGGCTTCGAATTTTTTTATAATAGCTGGCAAATATAGAATGTGTATATCTATAAAGTTATAAAAATACTGAATACTTTAAAATATTTTAAAATGTAAAAGCTAAAAGATTTTAAGTGAATTTTTTGAGCCGTAAATTTGTTATCATAATTCCTAAAAATACAGAATTCTTATATCTGTACAGTTTGAACTGTCGCATCGCATTTCAGTTTCCATTTGGAGACTTCATATATCTAATAATTTAAATATGGAATAGTGAAAATCCACTTTTTTAAGAAAATAGATCCCATACCACAAAACAATAAGAAAACTACAAATAATGATTTTTTTCTCTTAATATTTTCAGTTTATTGGATCAGGTAAGCCAAATGACGATCAATCATTGCGTTTAAAGCAATTCACGCACAAAGGGCACGGTGTATTGGGGCACGTACTGGGAGTAGGCACCGGCGGAGCCGTAGGTTGGAGCTGGTGCAGAGCAGGGCACGGGCTGCAGTGAGGGCTGGCAGCTGAACAGGTAGTTCTTGGGGCAGGGCGGGGATGGAACGGCGGCGGGTGCTGAGTAGGCGGCGGGTGCAGCCGGTGCTGGAGCGGCATAGGCTGGGGCAGCGGGAGCGGCATAGGCTGGGGCAGCGGGAGCGGCGGGCGCAGAGTAGGCGTGAGCAGCGGGCGCAGAGTAGGCGGGTGCAGCGGGCGCAGAGTAGGCGGGAGCAGCGGGTGCCGGTGCGGAATAAGCTTGTGCAGCGTAAGACGGAGCAGCTGGGGCGGCATATGAGGGTGCGGCAGCTGGAGCTCCATAGCCTCCATAGGCAGCGCGCGATACACGAATGTTCTCAGCCAACGGAGCCGGGATCAGGATGCCTTGCGTTGGCTGCAGCTGAATCGTCTCTGCGCCGCAGATCGCAGCCAGCATGGTGACCAGAAAGATGTGTCCAATGTTGAGTGCCATTGCGTTATTTGGTGGTGTTGTCTGTGCTACTTGCTGCCGAAGTGGAACCAAATGGTTGACTGTAGTGGATCAGCGTCGAGGCTCTCCACTTTATAGCCCTGTCCAAAAAACGCTGAGCGTGTTGGAAACCTGGAAAATGAAGACCAAAAAATAAATAAGAACGAAAAGCGAAAAAGCACAAACTGCTGACGATCTGAAATGGACTGCAGTTGGGTTTAGCGTGACCAAGGAGAACGGTGTAGGGTGAATCTCTGACCGGCTAACACCAATTCCAAATGGCCAAATTGACGAGACTGTTGCTACTGCTGCAACTGCTGACCCCGAAATTGGTTTTTCCAGCTGCCGTCGTCGTCGTCGTATCTGAACCGTCAACAGTTTCCGCCATTTCACAGTTTCTGGAGCGGCGGGCAGAACCAAATCAAGAGGAACTCAGCTGGACACATCTGTTGCCCAGCAACTATTACTCGGAATTGAATCAACAATACTATGTGAGATTTCGCAGGCACTCCAGGCTCGCCCTTAAGGATCTGCGCAGAGCCCGGACGTATCCATTTGAATATGCGCGATATCTCTAACAATAATATTTAAAGAACCCAAAAAAACAATATGGGAATAAATCTTTTGCTCCTATGTCGAAAATCGTTGCGCAATCAGCGGAAAGAAAATTAATTAAATATACTTAAATATGTGCGTATACTTTCATTTTATATAATTTTAGCTATTTTATTTTAAAAGCTCAACTTTTGTTTAACAATGCAGTAAATTGAGAAATTCATAGTTAACTATTTAATTTAATTTCAATCAAATTTCCTTGCATTAAACAGCTTGACTTTAAAGATGTCTGGCAATATACATATGTACATACATATTTAACGAGACAAAAATATGTATGTACATATGTACATATATAGCGCAGTAGAACGGTTTATCTGCTTGCAGAGAGCTTAAATATAAAGAGTATACATTTCTTCCCGTTGAATGGCCATTGTTGTGGAAGCATTTGATTCTGTTATACTTATGTTTGTTATATGTTATACTGCATGCATCAGCTACCTGCGCAGAGCGTGTATTGTGCATAGAAAGGGCGATCTACATACATATATAACCTATTTGTCGCCTGCGTTCACGCTAATGGCGGCGATGCTTTTGATCCCGTTACTTTAGTTGTGCATCTAGCCAAAAGCGCTGGCTCAAGAAGTGAGCATATCGCGAGCTTAATGAGAGGATTTAGTTTGTGCGCGTCTGCATTAATGATCGGGCGAAGCCTGTGCACGTGTGTTGTGTTTTTTTTTTATTTATTTTTTTTTCAACTAATTAAAATTGTCTACTTGGTGCACTGTGTTTGTGTGTAAAGATTCTATATATCAGTTTCCAGTTATTTACCGGGCATGGTGGTATGTTCATATGTTTATTTAAATATCTTTAAAAAAGAAATACATGAATATATACATACATATGTATATGTATAGCTGAGTTTTGGCGCATAACAAAATGGAGCACATTTGTTTGCTCTTGCCGTCTAATAGAGAAAGAGGTAGGGAGAGACAAAAAAGGGAGTAATCTAAAGATATTCGTAAAACACTTGGGCATCAGCTAGTCGTTTATGAAAATGCATGAGCAGTTAAATGCTCATACTCTTATAGAATTTCTATGAAATATGTGTTGAGTATATTATATGAAAATTGATTTTTGATTGGTATTTTGATATTGGGCATTTATTATATTAAGGCATCAGTTTTAGATGGTCTTCTCGCATTTGTCAACTGTAACGTTTGTGAACAGTTACAAAATGTTGTTCAGAACAATCGCAGTGCCGCAGTTGATATATCGATAGGCTTATCGATTGTCGATTAGCTTGCATTCCACACGCATGCTCGCGTGGGCGCATTTGACGTCACTAGGACGAAGGACACAACATAGACAAACCAAACAAAACAAAGTTTACAACTGAACCGTGAGCAGTTTTAAAGAAAATATTTGATTATAGTAGTAAAATTAAATATGAAATTAACACTGCGCCGTTATTCGTGGGTGGTAGCATTGCAATTGGCTCTGCTGGCTGCCGATTTGTTTTTCAATGCTTTTGGCCTTTGGCTGTCGCGGGATAAGCTGCAAACGGCGATATTCTTTTTTGTGTGAGTGACAGAAGTTGTCGGACCTAATACATATATATTATCTAAACAATATTCCTTAATCATGGAAAAGCATTCAGGACGCCTTCATCATTCTTGAATATCTGCTGTTTACACTGGCGCTACATTCGACTTGCGTCTATCAGGTGGGCGCCTCCCACATTATCCTGCGCAATTGCAAGCTATTTTTGTTCAGCATTACGGTCTATTTTCTGCTGTCCGCCTCACAGCACTCCTGGACTGTCTATCAGTATCGTTTGTCTGCATCAGAGTCCGCTCAGCAATGGCCCTTGGCCCTATATGCCTTAACGGTGCTCCAGCGCCTGAGTAAGTTCCAAGTTTTCAAAGGTTTTCTTGAAACAGACTGTTTATCTTTTGATAATATTTAATAGTGTCGGTTTTCTACTACTACACATCCAAGTCAACAGCTTTGATTATGGCCGATCCTCGCTATAAGGAGGAACATCTCGATTGGATAGCCGAACAATTGGGTGACAAGTAAAACGATTGAGAGTTTAGGGGTATTGTACATACTTTAGCTAGATGGCGCAAATTGTTAAAATTGATATGTAAGCTCAAGTACAATAAATGTACAAAACACAATTAATTAATGCCAATAACTGCTTTTTATTAAATCATTCTATACATTGCTATTATCAGTTTAAGTAAGCTATAATCTGTTTAAAAAAATTCAAAATCGGTACACGTGGCGCCATCTATGCGCGGTTGGACTCAAGCAGCGCCATCTAACGCACAATAGCTGCGCAAATGAAACTTGAAATTTTTTGATACTTGCCAGAGATATTTCGTCATGAAAGAAACTTTATTCATGAATACAGTGACAGTATTTTAAAAGGCAATTCCATATTGTTCTACTTTTGCAGAAGGTTTGTCATTTTATCCACGAATCGTATATTGTTGCGATGTATGCGTTTTTTCCATAAAGACTATATACTTTAATCCTAATTGGCGAGTCTTGATCACATAAGACATTTCCACAATTTTGAAAATATATAAAAGATATTTTTTTCTGAAACGTAAAACATTTAATTGAGGATGTTGAGAACATCATTTAAATGAAAATCTAAGCATTATGTCGTTCAGCGTATGCTCAAAATTTTATTAATTTATAACAATAACGGTTTTTTTAAAGTCAATGGCAATAAATATGATTATATTGCGCCCGATCCCTTTATTGAATACCTGCTAGAACTATAGATTAATGAAATGTAATGTCATATATATTTAATAAATAATAATTATGTTAAAAAAAAAAAAAAAAAAAAATATATATTTAGGAAATGGAAATGCCTGCGTTTTAAACTTCGGCACTTCAAAGATATTTTAAAGTTTAACATGAAGTAAATACTTGCAAAAATAAAAATATTTTAGGAATAAACACAAACTCTGAATGTTATTACAAAACATGCTCCATTAACGTTTGGCTATTATCATACCTTCTTGGCAATTAAGATATATTTATATCGTACATAATTTACATTTGACTTCAATATATACACAATGTCTCGCTTGTTGCTCAATATTGTCCATGATTCATATAGTAAAAACTAATATATTTAAATATAGATACATATGTTCAGCTTATAAAGCTAGGCATTATTGTAATATATTTAGTTAAATATGATATATATATATATGTAGATCAATAGATAATGCTTACAATTCAATTTCAAATTTGCACATATTCAAAGTCAGCTATATATACAGTTGTCTGGTTTGATATGATATGAATATAGTTGGTCCCTGATCAATAGACGAATACTACGTACCGGAGTAGCTAAATGGCACACCAAATAGCTGCTCCCACGATTGCCCAATGGCATTCAGACAGCACTCGGCATTCGCCAGTGTCTCAAACTGCAAATGCCACAATTCGCATTTATTTTCGGTTTCATCCAGAAAATTAACATTGTACTCGCAATCCGTAATCCGTTCCACCTCCACCAGATTGCTCATTTGCTGCGTAAGCGTGAGTTCAATGGGATGCTCCTCGATTGCTGTCAGCCAATTGAATTTGCCATTGCCGGCAATATGCAATTGCGTGTCGGTAATCAGCAGCGTGCAGAGCTCGAAGCTGCGCTTCTCCGGAGCACATGTCCACTGGCAGCCGCTGAGCACGGCGCACATCTTAAGCGGTTCAGCGACTATCGAATTGAGCCGTTGACGCAACTCATCCGCCGGTTGCTGGATCAGCTCACACTCTGCGGGCAGCGGGTTGTCTAGCGAAACAGAAGCGAATGTAGAGCAAATATAATATTGCTTAGCCACTTCACTCACCTGCCAGGTACAACAGTAAACTGTCTGTGCGCAGCATATCCTGCAATATTAGCACAAAGCCACCCCAGTCGCGCAGGCTGAAAGACAAGCCCAGTTTCCAGGGCAACAGCTGTATGCGTGTCACACGATTCACTGTCACGCTAACCACCTGACGCAGCCACTTGGCGACATCATCCTGTGGCGGCGCATACGCCTCCATCAGATAGCACTTGCAGGTGGACACTACCAATATGCCATCGCGCATCGTTTGCGTTTGCTCATTGTATATTCGACCCTTGGCCAGCCACTTGAAGTGCTCGCCCACCTCCTTGAACTTGCTCTGATAGAAATAGAGCTTCAAGCGGTGATCGATGTCATTGTAATCGCTATAATTAAATTTATATGGCTGAATTGCGGTTGCACTGGCCTCTGTTTCGATCAGCTTCTTCGAACTGGACATAAGCATGTTGGTCGATTGAAAAAGTGCTAAAATGTTTAAGATTATGATTAATTTCATCACTGAATTCTGGAAATTTTTTACCTATTGCTTAACTGTTAGTATCAAATATATCAAAAAACATTTAACATTGTTAAGAGTAAAGTTTATAGATATAAACTATTAACCTAACTCTTTGAACAGCACTAGCCTGGGGTTCTATCCTGGATCCTCGTATATTAAAATATTCTTAATTTACTTTCCAAAAAATATATGAAATTCTTACATGCAAATATCTTTGTTAGCAGATTTCCCCGTCTTCTTAAATGCAGATATCCCTTCCAGCAAATTTTTTTATAGCGAATTACTTTTAGCCTACAAATTATTCGTCACTCTGCTCTCTAGTTCAAGAGAACGATAAAAAAGAAAGATTTTACTTTCACCCTATTTCTTGATTTCTCTATTACTCTCACTGCAGCCTTCTCTTATTGTCGCTACTCCTTTAAAACATCGCCTTTCTATGCGCTTCTCATTTTCTCAACAAACTATTAGATAAATGGTTCTAAACTACATTAAATATTTGTTGTACATACCGCCAAACATGGAAGATAGGCCCGCATCTTCGGCTGTCTTTAAATGTTTCGTTTCATGATGGCCATTTGCGGCCGTCACTTCATAGTTGTTGTTGTTGTTGATGTGTTGGTGACTCGTGCTCCCGCCAGATTCGGCCAGCAGCATATTGTGTAGAATGATGGCATCGTCCGTTGCCTGCCGTTGGGCCTTCTCCGCCGGCTGATGCTTGGCCTGCTGTTCGTAGGTGGTGCAAATGCTGTCGGTCA